CTGTCAACGCTAGTGGTGGTGATCTCGGCGGTTCGAGCTGGGCATGACTCATGAGTCATCTTGGAGCACCAATAGCGGTCCTCCACGTGTCCAGGGTATTCTCTTCCCCAAACACCTGATCCAAACTTTTTTTCCCTCCCGTCTACCATTCTCTCTAGCTACAATTAATTTATTCTCTCTCTCATAATTTAGTTTAATAGTAGATTCGGTTAAGATAGAAAAAATTTCCAATCAATGATTTTTTTTAAACGTAAATATGAATGGGGTTTCAAATCTGTTAAAAATTGAATTAAAAAAAATTACTTCCATTTTAATCCTAAAATGAAAAAGGAAAAACGAAATCCTAACATTTTGGAATCGAGATTCCTTAATCTCCGCCCTCATTGAAATCATAACAGAATTCAAAAAATCGGGATTCCCTTTTTCTCTCTCTTCTCGCCCTCTCTCTCTTTTCTCGATCTGGATCTCGCTCTCTCTTTTCTGGATCTGGGTCTCGCTCCCTCTCTTTTCGCGGTCTTAGTCTCGCTTACTCTCTCGCTCTTTGTTCTCGGTCTCGCTCTCTTTCACTCTCTCGCTCGCTCTTTCTCTCTCTCTTCTTGCGTCTTCTCTCTCTTTTATCTCTCTCATCTCTCTTTTTTGGTCATTCTCCCTGTCTTCTCTCTCTCTCTCTTTCTCTCTTTCTTCTCTCCTTCAATCTCGCTTTGGTTTCCTCCCACAACCAAGCTCCAGTTCTCTCACAATCGATTGATTTTCTACAGGAAAAAAATAAAGTTCTTTGCAAAACAAAGGAGATGGAGGGAAAATAGGGAAAAATCTAGAAAATCTATACATTTTAATTTGGGAAATTTTGAAGAGAGTAAGGAGAAAGTTTAAAATCCATAAAAATATGAAAAATTTGATTTTGTTATGTTTTAGGAGGAGAAGAAAGATTAAGCAAATAGGAAGAGAGACGAGGGAGAGAGAAAAAGATAAAAATGGGAAGAAAGAGATGGAGACGAGAGAGAAAATGAATACCTGAGAAGATTCAAATGAAAAAAAAGAAGGAAAGTAAAAATTTAAGTCAAATTAGTGGAGAGGCAGATCATCTGGTTTGTTTGATGATATCAGCAAATGATTAGAAAACTTAGGTTCTCGATATATGGATATATATCAAAGTGGACCTAGGAAAATGGTTAGTCAGCCCAAAAAACCGATCTTTTAACCTGTGAAGCTCTGAGATTTTCTTCATCCTTTCTTTGGCTTTCTAATTTCTCATCGTGGCTCCTTCAAGCGGTGGAGGATGATGTATCAATTGTGTAGCCTTTAGGGCAGCCTAGTGTTTTTTTAATGAAGTTAGTTTAAAAGTTAAAAAAAACAAAGTCCATAATTTAGAGTTTAATTGTCTTAAGTTATATATTTTTGTTTCTTCAACTTTACCTCATATCAACTATGAATTTAATTGCAAAAAAAAAAAAAAAACTCTGAATTTAAGTTAGTTAAAATAATTTCCTAAACACGAATTATGAATCTGTCACTCCTAAATTATTGGTTTCAAAAGTGAAAGGTAACAAATATATAGACATGTGATCAACATTCTGGGTTGGTATTGTGTTCGTACACAACACCCATTTTTGCAATAGATGATATTTCTTGGAGGATTTTTGGTCTATTAAACCGTGTTAAGGATCCCACATAAAGAAGAGACCTTACATAAGTTTATAATAGACATGGACTACTCCTCTCATTGCCAATTGGTTTTGAGATGGAACCTCATGAATATTAATATGGTATCAGAGCCCAAAACGCTCAAACAAGCAACCGGTCCAATTGCCTATTCGCCAATGCTTTTGCCCTGAATTGAATCAAGTGAGAAAGAAAGGTTCGGAAATCGAGTTTTTTGCCCGAGTAAGTGGTAAACACAAGCTATTCTCTCAAAATACATCATCTTAATTATAAGATATTCAATGAATAGTAAAGTAGAATGCCTAACTAAAAAAAGATTAGTATATTGATCGACCTTTTAGAGATTGTAATTACACAAAAGATTAGTATATTGATCGACCTTTTAGAGATTGTAATTACACAAATGGATTCATTGTACAAAATTTATACTTTTGTTTTAAAATACACCTTAAATATAGGACCTGCATTTGACCAATATACCATTTTTTATATAGATGTAATTATTGTTAAGACAAATATACGCTTGTAACCAATTAGGTATATATGCATAATTTTAGGGATTTAAGATTTTTACGTATAGCAAAAACAATCGACCTTAATAATAGGGATTCAACTGTATTTAATAAAAAGTAAATAAAATTAAAAAAATTATCATAAATCATTGCTAATTAGAAATTGAGAGTAGATTTAAAAAAAATTGATAAGACTGGGTATATTTTGAAATTTACCCTTCTAAACTAGAATTATAAATAAAAAATAAATTAAATCAAAATAAATATCTTAAATCTAACTTAAAATTACTAATTAGAATTTGAGAGTAGATTTAATAAAAAAATGATAAGACTATGTTCAAGTATATTTTGAAATTTATCCCTTTAAAATAGAAAATTTATAAATAAGAGGTAAATATAAATAAGGAAAATTAACATTACCTTTATTGGTTTTTTTTTTAAATTTAAAAAAAAAACAAAAGGGTTTTGAACAGTACCTGCCT